CAGGACGGTGGTGCCCTCCCTGTATGAGGCATGCAGGGAGTACTTGAGGGAGGAGCTGTGCAAGGCAGGTCCATGGTTGGCCTTACAATTCACCTCGGACATCTGGAGCAGCTGGCGTGGAGATCATGCATACCTCTCCCTCACAGGGCACTGGTGCAACCAGTCAGGCTGTCGGTGGGTTCTCCTTCAAGAAAGGTGATGGATGAGTCCCACATGGCAACTGAGATCATGGGGGCCATGATCCACTTGGTGCAGGGGTGGCTCGTTGGGCAGGGTGAGCTCACCCGCGGGTTCATGTTCACTGACAATGGGGCCAATATGATCAAGGTGGTCCATGATGCAACTTTGCTGGCATCCTCTGTGTGGCCCACAAGTTGCACCTCCTTGTCAGGGACGTTTTGGAGGGGGACATGGCTGCTGGGGATGGTGCCAGAACCACCAGCAAGCATCCGAAGACCATCAATAAGATGGCTTTGCTCAGGGAGATTGGGATCAGTGGCACCCTGAACAGAGCTGAGTACAATGCCATCTCCTAGATCTTGGTGGTCCTCAAGTCCTTCCTCAAGGTCACTGAGACCTTCAGCACTGGCAATGCCCTTCTTAGCCAGGTGATTCCTGTAGTGAGGGAACTTCAGAACCAAATGGAGAGGTTCAGGGATCAATGTTCCTTGCTGGGACAAGCCACTGTCACCAGACATGCAGGCACTGGTGAAGCGGCTGAAGGAGGGCATCAGGAAATGTCTTGATCCCTTGCAATCCAGTATGGTCCACATGCTGGCTGTTATGTGTGACCTGAGGGTGAAAGGGAGAGTGAGTGTATGTGGCAGCAAAATCCTAGATGAGTGGATGGAGGTGCTGGTAAAGAAAGTCAGGGATGCAGAAGGGCAGAGGTGGGGGGACATGGAAGTTGGCAATCCACTGTCCCGTGCCAGCATGCCATCCACCAGCCTGTCTCCTCCTCCACCACAGGTGCTGCCAATGTGGGCCAAGGGTATGGCTTCCATGGTGGGGTCCAGAGGCACCAGACCCCACCATCAGGCAGGTAGTGCTCAGGCCTTGGTGGCTGCCTATCTTGCCAAAGACATGGAGCTGCTGCTGTGCGAACCCTTGGCCTACTTGGCAAGCCACAGCCAGATGTGGCTGGATCTGCCATTGTTGCCCAAGAACACCTGACCTGTCCACTGACCAGTGTTTCAAGTCAGAGGGTGTTCAGCATTGCTGGTGATGTAGTGATACCCCACCGCACTGCTTGGATCCTGGCTTGGCGGAGCAGCTGGTGTTCCTGAAGGTCAACCTTCCGCTGCTAGGGTTCCCCAAGCTCCACCTGCAGACGGAGTGAATGCCATCCTCCTCACTCCATCCACACCTATTTCCTTTTTTCCTTTTTTAAAAACCAATTAATGCCCCCACTCTCAGAGCTGGAGGCAGCACTCACTGCATCACCAGCCAGCAGGGGAAGAACATTTCCCTGCTGAGCTCCCATGCCAGGATGAACTTGGAGGTATGGGCTGGGGCTGTGGGGAAGGAGGAGACCCTAGGTCCTGGGAATAACCACTAAAACTGCACTCTGCGAAGGTCAGGAGGCCTGGTGGGACTGCCGATGGTATGGCAGCCCCAGGAAATGCCAGGACTGAGGATCTGGTGAAAGGTGGGTAGGAGGCTCCATAACCTCCAGCCAACACATGCACACGCACAGTCCTGCCTGGTGAAAACCCAGACCCATCGCGTCTTTGACAGGCCTGAGGCTTGCTGGTTGCAGTGGAGTTGCGAGGCTCTAGGTGAGCTCAGCTTAGCTGCCTGGGATGCCAGCTTTCAGCTTGAAAAACCCTTTGTCAGGCTGAGGAAGCATCTGCAGTTGATGTGTCTCCTGGTCCTGGATGGATGGAATAGTAAAGAAGCCTCTCCACTTTTACCTGTGCTGCTACATCCCCCTTCGTCCCACCCCAGCCTGTCCCTCACCTCCTGATGCCTCCATTTCCATTTTCACTGACTGGCTTTCTTGCTTGCATTGCATGCCAGCGTCTGGCTTCTTTACTATTCCTTCCATCCAGGAACAGCACACACATGAAGTGCAGATGCTTCCTCAGCCTGACGAGTGGTTTTTCAACCTGAAACCTTGCTAAGATATATTTCTCTAACTATTCAGTTAGTCTACTAAAAGATACCAGATTGACCAAAATAACCTTGTCTGCCAGTGCCATGTCCTTAGACCAACACAGCTACAACCTACATCCCTAGCACCTGTCCCCAGTCAGCTGACTAGAAGGAGGTAGGGCCCTGGGCACATCTAAGCTTCAGGGCTTGGACTGGCAGGGAATGTTCTCTGGCAGCTGCTGGAGAAGAAGCTCCTGCAGGGAAGGAAAGAAAAGCTCTGTGACAGTTTGGCTGCTTGAGGTGCTAGTGTTACTGTGCCGCTTACTTACCTCTTGTTATTTAAAGTGGTGGACTGAACTGAAGCTGTAGAGGTGGAGGAGAACTCATGGGGGCACACTACCATGTTGTGTAGAGGCCCCAGTGCCAGAGAGGGCATGCCTTAACACACACACAAAGTCATACGTCATGAGTTTTGCTTGTCAGCAGCTTATGGCTGTTTCCCAGAAACTGCTGCACCTGTCTTCTTAAAACCTGGTAGGCTTCATGACCTCAGAAGGGACTACCATGCCTGCTGTTTTCACCCTGCTGCACCTTAACACATACACATGGCATGAGTTTTGCTTGTCAACATCTTGAGGTGCAGTTTCTGAGAAACTCCTGTACCTATCTCCTTGAAACTTGGTAGGCTTTGTGGCCTCAGCAGGGGCTACCATGCCTGCTGTTATCACTCCCCTGTGCCTTCACACTTACAAGCGAAATGAGTTTTGCTTTCAAGACTCTGAGATGCAGTTTCCTAGAAACCCCTGCACCTACCTCCTTGAAACCTGGCAGGCTCCATGGACTCAGCAGGGCCTAGCATGCCTGTAGTTTTCACCCTGGTGTATCTTAACACACACAGATTGTCACCCATGTCATGAGTTTTGTTTGTCAGCAGCCTGAGGTGCAGTTTTCCAGAAACCCCTGCACCTATGTCCTTGAAACCTGGCAGGATTCATGGCCTCAGCAGGGGCTAGCAAGGATGCACTTTTCACCCCACTATGCCTTAACACACATGTGACATGAGTTTTGCTTCTTAGCAGATTGAGATGCAGTTTCCCAGAAACCGTTGCACCTATCTCCTTGAAACTTGACAGGCTTTGTGGCTTCAGCAGGGGCTACCATCCCTGCTGTTTTCAGTTGAGTCAGGCAAGAAATGACAAAGTTATAGGCAGTTTCATGATTTCCCATTATAGCCTATGGGCTAAACGTTGAAATGCGTCGAAACAGTGAAACAGTTTTGATGAAATGAAATGTAACAGTGCTTCGAAACAAAATGAAATTAAATGTTGAAACAAAACACTGTCCATTCGAAATGGTGAAACTGAAGTCAAAAGAAAATGGTGCTGTTTCGCACAGCCCTACTGTTTGGTACTGTCTGTGATGTCACAAGTTTCCACCTAGACTCAGTTACGTATACCTAGGACCCTAATTTAAACTTTCAGAGATTCACAGATTGTAAGGGGCTGGAAGGAACCTCACAAGATCATTGGGTCCAGCCCCCCTGGACTAGCCAGGAAAGACAGCTGGGCTCAGGTAACCCCAGTGAGGTGACCATCCAGTCTCCTCTTGAATATTTCCAGGGTAGGTAATTGCACCACCTCTGGAGGGAGTTTATTCCACAGTCTGGACACCTTGCCCGTGGAGAAGTTTTTTCTAGAGTTGAGTCTGAAACGGTCTTCCAGGAGTTTGTGGTTGTTACTCCTGGTTTTCCCCAAGGGTGCCTTGGTGAACAGTTGTTCACCATGCCCTTAATGTATTCCCCTGATGTAGTGATAAGCTGCTACCAAGTCCCCTCTCAGCCTTCTTTTTTTTAGGAGGAAGAGGTCAAAGTCCCTCAGCCTTCTCTTGTATGACTTGCCTTGCAAGTCTCTTATCATATGGGTGGCTCTTGTCTGGACTCTCTCAAGCTTTTCTACGTCCTTGTTGAAGTGTGGTGCACATAACTGGACACAGTATTCCAGCTGTGGTCTCACCAATGCTGTGTAAAGTGGAAGAATTGCTTCCTTGATTTTACATGAGATGCATCAGTTGATGCATGCCAGAGTATTGTTTGCCCTGCTGGCTACAGCATCACACTGACAGCTCATCTTCATGCAATGGTCTATTATTACCCCTAGGTCCCATTCAATTGTGGTGCTAGTGAAATTAGTGCCACCAAGCCTGTATGTTGGAGACTGTTTGTCCCCAGATGGAGCACTTTACACTTCTCAATGTTGAACCTCATCTGGTTCCAATCCGCCCAACTCTCCAGGCTGTGTAGGTCCGCCTGTATCTGCAGCCTATCTTCAAGCATGCCCATGCCTCCCCATAGCTTGGTGTTGTCCACAAACTTGGCCAGTGAGCTCTTCACCCCCTCATCCAAATCACTGATAAAGATATTGAAAAGCACTAGACCAAGCATGGACCCCTGAGGGACACCACTGGCCACCTCTTGCCAGGATGACACAGATCCATTCATAAGAACTCTCTGGGTCCTACCTCACAGCTAGTTTCCTACCCACCTAACTGTCAAGCAGTTAAGCCCACAATCCTCCAATTTTCCCATGAGAACATCATGGGATACTATACCAGAGGTCTTTTGGAAATCTAGGTATAATGTGGACTTCTCTCTCGTATCCAGGTGGCAACATGCATGGAAACTGTAGGCTAGTAACACAGTGAAAGTCTAGAAAGGTGTCTAACTGAATTAAATTAGTTATGAAAACCACATGCTAGTTTGAAGGATACACAAAGTCATATAATAACTAGGATTTTTCATTCATTTTTAAATGTTATATAATATGTAATAATTTATGATGTAATTTCTGCAGATTTCAACCGTTTGCAGGACGGCACAGTTTTTCATGCATTATTTTGTTGGTACAAATTATTTTTGGCTTTTGGTAGAAGGAATTTATCTCTACACATTATTGGTGACTGCAGTACTCCCCGACAAACAACTACTAAAGACATATACTGTGATTGGATGGGGTAAGTAAATAACAATTTCAAAGAAATGGTTTGTCATGTTCTATTTGATAGATATGATAAAATGGATTTTGATATGTTATGGAAAAAAGAGGAGACTGGATTATGTTCTTAGCTCTGCAGTTTGTCAGCTTCCTTATACTGATAAGGTACCTAGAATTGATCATGTGATCAGGGTCCAGTTCATAGCAACATAACGGGTAGGGCTCAGCAGTTGACACATTTAAAATTGGTAAAATAATCTGTAACCTTTCCTCTCTTGTATTAAGAGGAAACAATGTTCCAATACAAAAACCCCCAGCTTCCGCATTTTTTAAATGTCAGTCAGGTATTAAAATGATATCAGTGACTATAGATATTTGTTACTGAATAATTCACATTATGAGACAACTATCCAGAAACATCTCTACCTACATAAAATAATCCTGTGTTTACATGTTATAATTGTATGGTATAGCATCATATTAAGGTAGTGCCAGAAATTCTATTTTGCCAGAGGTGGTGAAGGTTTCTAAATACTGTGGCTCAGATTCTATTCTACCCCTAAGACACTGAAGTGGCACTTAGGCAGCTTCTAGTCATGGAAGATTGTATCTGTTCCGTATCCCTGCCAAAACCCAAAACCACCATTGTGAAAACAGACCTACCTATTCACTCCTTGTACACCCAAGCTTAGCAAACAGGCAAAGTAGGTGGCTGAAAGGTTTCTAAGGCTCCAAATAGATGTCACATTTACCCCAGGGCCAGTTGTGCCAGATCTTAAAAGTCACAGGATTATCAGGTGCATACATCATCCTTCCAATCAGTGTTCATTGAGTGGTTGAATACACTGCCACTTTTCTGCCAGTAGGCGGCCAGTGAGAACACTCATCCCAGTATGTCTTGCAGTGGTCAAGTGTTAGTTGGTTGGGCCAGCATCATGAGCTTACATGAAAGATTGCATAGAGAAGACAATGCCAGCAGGCCTGGACAGGCAACATCTAGTCATATAGTGAGTGTGAAAAGATAGTTTGAGGGTGAGAAGTTCATGAATTTGGATGACCAGCAGTGATGTAAGAACTTTCATATGTCCAGGGGACCTTAATGGAGATCTGAACTGAGTTGGCCCCCTGCCTCTAGCAGCAAACTACTGGGATAAGGTTGCCTTTGTCCGTTGAGAAGCATGTCACCATCACAATAGGGAATCTTGCTATCCCAAACAGCCTCCAGTCTGTGGCAAACCATTTCAGTGTTGAGAAGTCCACAGTAAGTGAAGCAGTGTGGGTGGTATCTCATGATCCAATGGCTTATGGCCCCACCAATCATACACCTTGCTGACCCACAGGAGGTTCTGGACAGCTTTGCCTGGAATTCCCTGTGTCAGCCTAATCAATGGCAGACATGTCACCATCCTTCTCCCTGCATAATGGTAGCAGGGTAAGCTTCTTGAAGTGCCTGAGCCTGCTGGGGTGAGCGATCCTGCAGGGCCAGGCACACTTTGTGAAGCACCTGACCCAAGAATGGGGGACCCCTCAACTCTGTAGGCAGGCATGCAGCTTAGACCTGACCCGATGTACCCAACTAGTCCATGCTGGGGCCAAGACCCAGAGAGGGGTCAAAAGGGCTTGGGGTCCTGACTGGCCTAAGACAGGGCCAGGGACTAACAGGGAGCTGAAGGTCCCAGAGGGAGGACCACAGTTAATGGGTGAAGGGTCTGGTTGAGTCTAGCTGCTTGAAATGCCATCTGCAAGACTTGGGCTACAGTGCAGGGGTGGAAAGGAGCTGCAGAGATCCCCCTAAACATTGGGGTGCAAAATGGGCAGCCTCCAGCCTAATTAACACCATAATCAGGTATCATCAAGGCATGGCAGGAAAGTGAGGTGGGTGGCTGGCCCATAGACAGGAGGCAGGCTAGTGCTTGCACTGGGTGTGAAAGCTTGCCCCTGTCACAGAATACAAACAGAAGGGAGTACAACTGTATCCTGGTAGTTAGAGGAGTTAACTAGGAGGGGAAATCCTGGGTTCAGGACTGTTTATGTATTTGATGTTAGATAGTCATTGAATAAAATGGAAAAGTATTGGGAGTGTGGACAAAATTCAGGGCTTCTTCCCAGGGTAGCTCCTACTGCACTGGGCCACAGAACTGGGTTCTCTTTTGCTTGCTGCCATGACTCCTTGACTCCTTTATTCAGGTACCCTGTGGCCCAGTTTCAACAAGAGAGAGGGATATCCAATCTTTAGTCTGTTGTCTAAGATACTCTCTGGGAAGTAGGCAATGTAGGCTCAAATTCTCAGCAGATGATGCGGGCCTAGGATCCCAGTTTTTTGTTTTCCAGGCAAGTGCCATAACCACTAAGCTGTTGGGCAAAGGGTAGGCACCATCAGCACACATCTTTCCTCACTTTATTCACTTAAGTAAATGCTACTGTTTCTCAATTAAGCACATTGGTAGGTGTCTCTGAGAGAACTCTGTCCGAACAGGGTGTCTTCCTATAGCAGGTCTGGTCAAGTAGGATCCTGACATGATGGAAGAGTGAAAGGCCATCCATAACTCTGGCTACTGAGAGAATGGGAAAGGTATGTGATATGTATATCTCCCTCAGCTGAATAGGATTAGCCTCTGGGGACATACAAGGCTGCACATAAAAAGAGCAGGAGATACAGGCACCTCAGAGGGGGAATAGGATTACCCTCCTGAGCCTAGACACATCAGTTTGGGGCAACCAACACCAAAGTCTTAATCACCTTAGAGGCAAAATAGGATCTGGGCCCACTGTCTACTATGAAAGACTCCCATCCACACCATGACAATCATTTTCCTGTTGGTTTTAGATTGAATATGTCAAATATATTTCCCTTGGCTATCCTATTCCTAAATATCATGCTACATTTGCTTGCTAGGGTCAAAGAGAAAACCAAGGCTTTCTGATTGTCAGTATTCAGCAGCTTATTCAGTGGCTGTCTGGTCATTACTTTTACAATGTACTGGCACTTGAAGACTATAAATGAAGATTATGAACTTGATCCAGAAATTAATAGTTGTAATTCTCTGGTTTGTTATGCTGGACAACAGAGGAGACTACTATAACTGTTTCTTCTGGCCTTAAATCTATGGTTTTATATGAATTTAACACTTAAATGTCTGTGTATTTCAGTAAAGCCAAACTTAAAATAATTTGTGTACATACAAAAACTGTAGAATGTAAGCCGTCCTTAACAGTGGGAAACTGTTATAGGATGCAGTGACTCCGAGGAAGATTTGAGGGTTAAGGTGGAGAATCAACTGAACTTGAGCTCCCAGCACAGCACTGTGGCTGAAAGGAATTAGGCAATCCTTGGATGTCAGAGGAATATCAAGTAGGAGTAGAAAGATTATATTACTTCTCTATTTGGCACTGGCACAACTATTTCCAGAATACTGTGTCCAATTTTAGAGTCCACAATTCAAGAAGGATGTTTATAAGTTGCAAGGGTTCTGAAAAGAGCCTCAAGGATGACTAAACAGTTGAAAAATATGTCAGATAATAAGAAATTCCAGGAGCCAAACATATTTGTCTTACTAGAAAGTTAAAGGGAAACTTGATCACAATATATAATTACCTATAGAGGGAACAAAACTTTAATAATAGAGTTCAGTTTAACAGATAATAATTCCAGCAGTGGTTGGAAGTTGAAAACAAACCAATTCAATCTTAGCAGTAAAGGTATCCAGTGACTGTAACACCTTACTAAAGGCTGTGGAAGCAAGTTTTGATTAAGACTAAATGTTTTTTCAAAAAGATTCTCATGTGGTAATTCATGCAAGAATGAATTCAGAAGAGACTCGTAGCCTGTGTTATACAGAAGGCTCAACTGGATCATGGCAAACACCACATTGGACCGTAATTTTTTATAAAAGTAGGAAAAAGTAAATTCTGTCATATCTAGGAGGATATACTTTTTCCATAAATAAGAAAGCTGCTGAATCCTTTTTTAACTTCAAACAACTCAGCATTATTTACAGAGATGCAGCTGGTACAATTTGCATTTCTGGTAAAAATTTGTGGTTGACAATGTTTAGCAGAATGAGAAATAATAAGAATAGATTTAAAATTATTTTTAAGCAGTTACCATTAAAATGTGTATATTTTAGTACAGCCAAATTGAGACTCATAACTCTAGAAACAAAGACCGTAGATCACATTATCATAAATCCAGGATATGGAATTCAGTCCCAGAAAGCAGTAACTTAAAAAGAACAAAAATGTCACAGTAGAAAAGCAAGTGAATATGAACTCCCAGTGTAATGTTAATCTAAAGAACTAAACATGATCCTTGATTAGGGGACTATGGAGTTGGAGGCAGGAGACTGAATTACCTGTGTATACTGAATTAGTGAGACCATTAATGGATATCGTTTCCTGTTCTAAAGTCCACATTTTAAAAGGGATATAGAAAAATTGGAGAGAATAGGACTTGAGGTCCCTTTCAGCTCTACTTTCTTATAACCATGTGCATCAAAAGAACATTACAGCGGTTCTGGTGTCCTCCCGTCCCTGAAGTCAAAATACGTCATAACTTAGATTTTTCATAGATGCATAGATGTTTGGATCGGAAGGGACCTCAGTAGATCATTGAGTCTGACCCCCTGCCCTGGGCAGGAAAGAGTATGGGGTTAGATGACCCCAGCCAGGTGCATGTCTAGCCTCCTCTTAAAGACCCACAAGGTAGGGGACAGCACCACCTCCCTTGGAAGCCCATTCCAGATTCTGGCAACCCTTACCATAAAGTTCTTCCTGATGTCTAACCTAAATGTGCTCTCCATCAGTTTGGCCATTTTGTTCCTAGTCACTCCAAGAGCTGCTCTGGTAAACAGAGCATCTCCTATTCCTTGCTGCCCCCTGCCTCCTGATGAATTTATAGGCAGCCACAAGATCACCTCTCAGCCTTCTCTTGTGGAGGCTGAAGAGATGCAGGTCCCTCAGTCTCTCTTCATAGGGCTTTGCCTGCAGGCCCCTAACCATGTGAGTGGCCCTCCTATGAACCCTCTTGAGGATGTCCACATACCTCTTGAAGTGTGGTGCCAAAAACTGGATGCAGTACTCCAACTGCAGCCTGACCAATGCCGCATAGAGGGAAAGTATCACCTCCTTGGACCTGTTTGCCATGCACCTGCTAATACATGATAAAGTATGGTTAACTTTACTGATTGCTTCATTACATTGGTGACTCATGTTCATCTTGGTGTCTACAATGACTCAGAGATCCTTTTCCACTGCTGAGAAGGTCCTCCCCTAGCCAGTAAATATCCTTCTCCCTAGGAGCAGCACCTTGCACTTGTCTTTGTTGAACTGCATCCTATTCTGTTCCAACCTGGCCAGATCCACCTGGATTTGTTCTCTACCCGCTAGTGTGTTAACTTTACCTCATAACTTGGTATCATTTGCAAATTTGAACAGAGTGCTTTCCATGCCCTCATCCAAGTTACTGATGAAGACATTGAACAGCACAGGTCCAAGGACCAAGCCTTGTGGGACTCAACTGCCCACATCTTTCCAGGCTGATACTGATCCATCCACCACCACTCTCTGCGTGCAGCCCCTAAGCCAATTTGCCACCCACCTTACCGTGTAATCATCTACATCACAGCCACTCAGTTTATCTGCGAGAATAGGATGAGATACCATATCAAAGTCTTTCTTAAAATCCAAGTAGATGACATCTACCTCGATTCCTGCCTCTAAATATTTTATGATATGGTCATTAAAAGAAACAAGGTTAGTCAGGCAGGATTGACTTGCTATGAATCTGTGCTGGTTGCCCTTCAGCATTGTTTTTCCCACTGGACTCCCACAAATGTGATGCTTAATTTTTTCAAAGGTTTTCCCAAGGATAGAGGTGAGACTAGCTGCTCTGTAGTTACCCAGATCCTCCTTCCTCCCCTTCTTGAAAATAGGGACCACATTGGCCCTTTTCCAGTCCTCTGGGACCTGACCTGAGCACCATGAGTGCTCAAACAGCCATGGTAGTGGCTCTGCTATGACAGTGGCCAATTTCTTCAGCACCCTTAGATGAAGATCATCTGGGCCTGCTGACTTAAACACATCCAGCCCCTCCAAGTGTCCCTAACAGTTGGTGGGATAGTTTCCCTTACAGTTGGTAGCCTGTCTGTGGTCCAGTTGGGAGATTTGTCCTGATCTGACTTCAGGAATACAGAGGCCAAAAACTCATTGAAGATGTCAGCCTTGCCCCCCCCCCCCAATCTATCACTAATTGACCTAGTTTTTCCTGTAGGGGTCCTATGCTACCCTGCACCTTCTTTTTACTCCCTATATACCTGAAGAAAGATGTTTTGTTGTCTGTAATTTTTGTTGCCAGCCTAAGTTCCATTTCTGCTTTGGCCTTTCTGACTGCCTCCCTGCAAGTACAGGCCAAGTAGGGTCAAGTAGGTGTACTCAGGCTTGGTAGACACCCCCTCCTTCCACAGCCTGTATGCCTCTTTTTTGGCCCCTAGGATTTATAATATGTTATAATCGATGGGCACATTTACAGGAGATGATAACTGCTCAGTAGTCTAATAATGTACAGTAGCGTGCTGAGCAAAAACTCTGTTAATATGCTACTGCACAGTAGTATTAGGCTACTGCACAGTAAGCATCACTAAAAACCCATGCACTGGCAAAACTGCACAGTAGCTCAAGTTACTGCACATTGATTTAGTACTTGGTTAACCAAGTACTAAACTGAATGTGCAGTAACTATGGTGCATTAATGAACATGTAGACACACCTAGTGGAAAGAATTTGTACTAATATGGCATTAATTTCAAGTTGTGTTTTCCAGAATTTAAGACTAGAAGGAATTCATTACCTTCAGTTTATAAAAGGGAAGTTCAACAGGACACCTGCTCACAATCTCTAGGTACTCATGCAGAGCAGACATCTCATGCTAGAAGGTTTATAAATCTAGTCTAGAACACAGAAGAATAGAGTGACTGTAAACTGAAGTAGGTAGAGTTCATGTTGAAAATACAGTGCAAGGTTGTAACAGCATGGTAATCAACTGCTACATGAGAATGAATTTAATCACCTCTTCATCAATTTGGGAGGAAGATGATACTTTTTAACTGGAAGGGAAATTACCAGTGCAGTATATTACCACATCTTACAGAGGCCTGTGGTAGACTGTCACTGGAGTTTTAAAGTAAGAATTAATGTATTTCTAAATGAAATGGTATAGTTCAGCTGTTAGTTATTTTGATCTATGCAGGATCAGGCTGCATAGGATTTTCAGATTAGATGAGTACAATGATACCTCCTTTTTTAAAATTGCTGATTGTATTAACCTGTACATTTAGAACCACTGGTACTGATGAATGCAGGCATCAGAAAAGTAGCACACCTTGATGTGATGGTGATTGGAGCTCAATAAGTATTACCAAAGACAAATTTTGTTAGAGTGGACTTAAAGCCATGAATGTGTGTCAGGATCTGAAGGGTAAAAACCTTTGAAAGTGGTTAAATAACTGGAGCACTGAGATCACTGCCTGTCATACTGACCTGTATTGTCTCACTGCTTCTTTGTACTCATCCCTGCTGTCTGTATCCACCTGTTGCCTCTTGTCCTAAACTCAACACAATCTATGGCAGTGATTATATTTTGCTCAGTGTTTATAAAGCATCTAGCACAGTGGGGTCATAGTCCATATGTAGTATTCCTGAATCCGACTATAACATAAATAAAACTTACTCCACGGGTGGTGCTCCATCCCCACCCACCCATGCTTACACCATAGCACCTCTCCAGGTACTGCCAGGGGTATGCATGCTCTCACTTGACAACCCCTGACTTAGATTATACCAAGTGACACAAAAGGTTGTGGATAGTGCTGGGACTCAAACCCAAGTTAGTTAATTCCTAGTGAAGAGTTTTATTCGCACCTGTCCATCACCTTCCAAGCCTTAAGCTTGTCCTTTGAAGCTTGCATGTATATGAATCCATTACATAGTTTGTGAGGCCTTTACTAGCACTTACTGATAATATTTACACTGCAGTGGCAATGTATCCCAGCTGAATCACTGCTAAGCAGGGCCCATGCATCCATCCTCAATACCTGGAAGTGGTCTAGTTAGACTGGTCTGGAGGCCTACCAGCAATGCTCAAGCATGCTTGAGACCAGGGTCAGGAGAGTGACCTGAGAGGAATACTCTGGAGGGACCTTAACAATGTGTTTTCAGGTTTGGAGTGAGATTGTGAGAACAGGCAAAAGGGTATTCTTGGCAATGGCCCAGCTGGAAGATGTCACTGCCTCTTTGTAGATAACCAAACTGCATTCTAGGTGCCAGAAGCTTCTAAATTCCTATCAAAACAAGCAATATGCAAGCATCTTCATGAATATTTAGGGACTCATCTCTGCTTGTAAGGTTTCCGTATATTTATTTTTGTGTGAACAAGAAGAAGCAAGCTGAATCTCAGTAGGTGCATCTACACATGTACTGTACTATGGAGTAGACTAGTTAGCTCTGCAGTAAAGTATTGGGGACAGTACTATCTTATGGTAGACTATTTAACTTCACTGAAATGCATGTGTAGATGGTGACCGGGTGGAAGCAAGATTGCTGGCTGCCACCTAGCCACACAGCTCTGCTGACTCAGCATTCTTGTGCCTCAGTCAGCCCCTCTCCTGCCCAGTACTGCCACCCAGGGCCTAGGGCTGACCCTCCCCATGCCCCCTGGCAGCCCAGGCCTGTCTTGGGCACACGTGTAGATGCTACGCCCAGGCGCAGTTTACTCTGGCACAAACATCTCCAAAGTTTATTGCTTCACCTTAATTTCATGTATAGATGCACCCAGTATGTCATTTTTTGATAAGATCCTTAAAAGATGAGAATTGCTATATTTCTTATTGTGTAGAGCTGTAGCATGTCTGTATTTTGTATGATGCATTTTGCAATCTGGTATTAATTTAACCTTTCTCTTGTCTTTAGTTGTTCCAGTTCTCTTTGTGGCCCCCTGGGGAATAAGTAAATCAAAGTTAGAGGACATAGGGTAGGTTACCATACTAAGATGGTATTGTCTACTTTGCCTATTTTAATGTGGTTTGTCCTTGTTTTATAGTACATAGAGCAAACTTGCTACTTTTTTTCTGGACATCTTCGACAGCATCAGATATCAACATCTACCCTGTGAGCACTTTGACTCTGTTCCCACTGAGTACAATGAGAATCAACAGCATTCTTTAAGGAAGGCTCTTTAAAGGACAGTCCATAGTTTTAGTACCTTTATCACTGGTTAAAAAAAAAAAATCTTTCAATATGGCCAATATATAGGCCTCGTTACCTGGTAATTTTGGGTGGTTCATGGAGCTCTTTACCCCTGGATTGTCCACACATTAACACTTGAAACTGCTTTTAAGCTTGTGTTATACAGCTTAAAGTTACACCACTCCAGGGCAGGAATATTTCTGATCTGTATTACCCAGCTTGTGTTACACTGAAGGTGTGGCCATGCTATGCTACACCTTAGTGTAAACATCCCACCTACCCCCCTCCCCTGCTGCCCAAGAACAGGCCCACTGCCTCCCCCTTCCCAGCACCCCAGATCCCCATTCATTGCCCCACTGCCACCCTCACTTGTGGCTGCTTGCGCTATCTGCCCATGGGGAGCAGGAAGGGAAGGGTTAAACTACTTGCCTGGCCAAAGTTGCTGCTTCTGGTCTTGGGCTAGAAGAGCAACAGCCTAGCAGCAATGGTGGCCAGGAAGGCAGGTAGCCCTCCGCTGCCTGCCTCCCTGGGACAATGCAGGCAGCCATAAGTAAGTAATGTCCAGGGGGATACAGGAGGGAACCCTGAGGAGCAAGGGGGCAACCCTGGGGGTGGGGCAGGGTAGCAGTGGGGAAGCCCAGAATGGGAAGGGGAGGGGGTGATTCTTACCTTTCAGTCCTCCAGGCCCCTGCTGGCCTGAAGTGTAACTGCTCCAAACTTTGATTAACATTTGTGGAGCTCACAGCGTAACAAGGCCCTATGAGATGTTATTGTAGTTCAAAATCTTGAGGGATGTGAGTTTTCAATTATTAAAATAATTTGGAGCAGAAATGGTTTGATAGGATGTGTTAAATTTCATTTTTTAAATGAATTTTAACTTAAAAACTGAAGTCTTCACTTGTTTAATTTCAGGAAAATGTATTCTGTCCTCCAAAAGTAAATAACTTTGGGAATGATACCGGATACCCTCATATATTCTTGTGACCTGGCAAAGAATGTCTTGCATTCAAAAGCGTGTCTAATTCTACTACATAGTTGGTCCAATGAAAGATATCACCCTAAGAAATCCTTGCCTCTCTCATGCATTTCAAACTAGCTGAATTTATACCTTAAGGACAAACTCAATTCAGCCTTAAAGAGAGAACTACAAAACCATCACATGTTATAACAAATAAAATTGTTAATATACAGCAACCACTGTGTCAGCCTTCAAAAATGAGTGATTCCACAGTTATGCCAGATACACTATGCCACAATAATTCAATAATTTATAGAAAGCATAGTCTGCACCTGGTCCGTTTTGGTACATGTGCACCATCCATCCCTCTTACAAGAAAATGTTCTAAGAAAATAGTTTTACCTTAATTTAGGTGAGCTTGAAAACTTCATCTCTGAGCCTTTTTTATTTTTGTGAAGCCAGCTTTAAGCTAGTGATATTCATACAGTTCAGGGTTGTTTTTATCCATTCTGTGCTTTAAAAAAATCTGACATTTCTGAGGGAAATAAGAAGTCCACAGGTTGTGACTAACATCATCTCTGTTTTTTTAGACCAATATACGGTAGTGTGAACATATGTACAACTACCAAACTCCAATCTTTCCTTTTTTAGACCCTTAATCATACTGTCGTCAGAAGTATGTTTCTCACATGTTGGGGAAAGCTTGAAGAAGTTGTTAAATGAGATTTTTGGAGTATAAGGCTATGGTGTTTTCAATCACTGGTGGAACACAGATTGGCATCAGCTTTGAGATTAGATGTCTGCCAGGGTAAGGCTAAATTGTGAAGGGTCTATGTTTCATTTAGTGGAGGACAGAAAGCCAGTGATGGAATTTAAAGATATATAAGTGATATTATTTAAATGATTGGGCAGGAAGAGGATTTTAGCAGCAACATTTTGAAATATTTTTTCAAAGATTTATAGATTTCGGCTAGAAGACATTATTAGGTCATTTATTCTAGTGTAATTTAAACCAGAGAATTTCACACTGAGATACTTCCATAACTTCAGTTTCAACTGTAATTTATCTTAGAAAAGTATCTAGTCTTTAGGTGAAGATTTAAAATGATGGAGAATCCACCATATCCCTTTGTAAACTGGTGTGATGTTTAATTGTCCTCAGATTAGAGATTCTCACCTTTTCCCTACTCTATATTTGTCGAGCTTCAGCTTCCAGCCACTGGATCTCAGTCTGCTTTTGTCCACTAGCTTAAAGAATTGTCTACTATAGGGTGTCTTTTCCCCATCTACTTACTATAGAGCCTCTCCTGGATTTGAGGGAGATGAATTGTTGACATCAAGGCCAGAGTGTGGCATAATCAGAGCTAAAACAACAGTTTTGTCTGTGTGGACAGAAAGCAAATGCTGAGTCTTGGATTTGTTATGTGAAAAATGCAAGAAGATCTAGACATGGTTGGATGTGTGACAAAAAGTGGGGGCTTACATCAGGGATATGTTCAAAATGATTGAGCTGAGGGATAAGAAAGATGATTGTGATACGGAAAGTGGGGAAAGCAGGGCTGGGGGAAAGAGAAGTTGTTTTGCAGGCTGAGTTTCAGCTTGGAAGTGGACATTCTTCAAAACGTATCAGAAAAACAGGCTAAGGTTTTGGTCAGGTTGGAGGGAGTCAGGAGGGTCTGTTTGGTAAAACAGAACAGAGACTCTTGAATAGGGGTGCACTGATAAAGATTTTCTTGGTTGATACTGATAACCGATGATTAACCAGCAATATTAGCCAATGCTGATGTGATAAACAATATTTAGTAATAATGCAAGGCATTTTAAACTACTGACATAAATAAACCGTTTTTGTTTGTTTTGCATTATAACACACATGCCTCCTGCCTACTCCGGCCCTCAATGAGGTAGGTGGCGACCACCTTATTCCCATGCATGTTGCCCCCTCACCCATAGCTCCTACCCGCAGCCCCACTCCCTGTGCAGTCTGTCCTGCTGCCCTGGGTGGGCAGGGCAGACTCTCATGTGGACAGCGGTGCCAGACATGTTTGGAGCCCCAGAGCGCACCACTGCCTCAGCTCCCACAGCCACCATGGAGTAGCCATTTTTGCAAAGGCACCTGGTGCCTGGCAGAGTGGAATATCCCTCATGCGGCACCTTACCCCACCCATGCACAGCCCAATGTCTCCACAGCAGCCCTGGCACTCAGCCCCTCTCCCCCACATCCACCTGCACATGTGGCGTTGCCATGGCAGCAGCAGTGGAAGCTGGTAATGGTCCCTTTGTTGCTGAGCACAGTGCCCTGTGACTGCTTTCTGGCACTTCCTCCCACTGCTTGCTGGGACCTGTAGTCTGCCACAGCCTCAGGCCGGCAGCGGGATGCGGGGATTGGACTGCGCTCACCAGGGTGCTCTGGGTATGTGGTCATAATTATTGGCTACCATGACCAAAAAAAGTCGATAGCTGATAACGTCATTTCTTCTTTTATTGGTACTGATCCAATAGTTAACAGATGTTTTGGTGCACCCCTACTTTTCAGTAGAAAGATGTTCTAGCCACATTTGTGGATAACAGTTAGGGCTGTGCGAAGCTTCGGTCCCTGATTCAATTTGGCAGAGATTTGGCCCGATTCGGTGGCCGAATCTCTGAACCCAAATCGAATCAAAGGACCCTTTAATCTCTTCAAATCGGTTCAGAACCCTATGAATTGATTCGAAGAGATTTGGAAAGATTTGGCGATTCAGGCATAGATACAACTTTCAATTATTTTTCTACATACCGCTAGGTAGTAGAGGCTCTGAACCCTGTGGTGCTGGGGGAGATGCAGTGTCCCACAGCAGCATGGGGGGGAGGGGCCCAGCATGCTCAGCAGCAGACCTGGAAGTGGACCAGAATCACTTCTAGTCCACTTCCTGCTCCACTGGGGAGCACGTTGGGGAGCCCCTGTGCCCCCCTAGCTCAGTGACTGGTGCCTCCTGGGTCTGAGGAGGGCACCCAGGGTCCCCCTGTGGCCAAACGCCTAGCCAGAGGAGCATGGGGGGCCCCAGCACACTCCCCGGCAGACCCAGAAGTACTTCCGGTCCACTTCTGGGTTCACCGCCGAACATGCTGGAGAGCCCTCCCCGCGTTGCTGTGGGATGCTCCATCTGCCCCAGCACCGCAGTGATCGCTACCTCATGGTATATAGAAAAAACTTTTAAAGCTGTGCCTGTGTCCGAATCGCTGATTCACTGAATCAGCATTGAATTGCCAGATTTGGATTTGGCTGAATTGAATCAGGGACAGTGATCTGAATCAACGGATCAAATCACTATCAGAATCGAATAGGACCCATTTTACACAGCCCTAAACAACCCTAAGAATCAAGATTTGTCAGGTTTGTCACTGGTTATTGATAGGGGTAGCCAGCTTCCAGTATACTCTTTCTCTGTGTATGAATTTGTGAAGTATGTTTAAATGACATGTCTAAATGATTTAGGAAACTGTTAGAGTGGATTACAGTGTAGGCATTCAGGTGCTCATGTATGTCTCCATCAGGCTGTTTTGAGAATCCCAGCCAATAACCCTTTCATACTATTTGGCATTATCATAATATTTAAACATAAATTCTTTGCTCTTTTATTTAATATAAATATTTTCAAAGATTTTCGAAAAGAACTGTTCTAAATGGGGTGTCTCCATTCTGGTTATCTTGTTTTTCTGTGTAATTGCTTCTAAACTTGTTTTTTCCCTTCTACTAATATTTTAAATCATTTTCTCATTCTGTTTAATTTGTATCCATTTTAGTTTATGCTCGGTCAGGTCTTCCTGGGCTTGCCTTTGCCTGTACTCCAGAGTTTGAAAGGGTTTTTGTCTTATGATTTCCTTCAGTTTAAATTAGTCTATAAAGGTGCATATTTATCCTGCCTTTTGACTGACTTCAGACTAACTGGGCTAACTACCTCTCTCTACACTAGAGGTGCTCAATATTTTTTGAGATGAAAACATTTTCTATCACAATTGCTGTTTCAAAGTAAACAAAATATTTTGTGAAGAAGAATTGATTTATTTTAAAATTCACTTTAATTATAATTCAGTTTAGGACAGGAATTCCAGAATGTCAGCTTTTCACATTGTTTTTAATATTTTGACATATTTTAAAATTTTTTACGTATTTCACAATAGATTCACTATTCCATGCTGTAAATTCTGATTGACCGAGTGTTTCATCACATACAGAAAATAAAATAGCTGTTGAGTCCAGAGGGTGGGAGATCGAGCTCCAATTTGGAGCCTATTCAGGAGAGACGCTCCATCTCTGCAGCCTCATCCCCAAGCGCTGCCCCTTCTCTCCTAGGTCCTGTACTGTCTTAGGATGGGATGGGGAGAAGGCAGGGGAGGGGAGGGGAGCCAATTCCCAGATTTGTTCAGTTTGTTGTATAATTGCCATCCATCCCCACCACCTAACCATCCCCACCCATAAGTACCAGCATTCTCACCAGAGGAATGCCGCACTCCTTTCTGGGATTATCGTGCAGCCAGAGGGTGTTAATTTTAACTCATTTTTCTTGTTATGGGGAGGACAAAATCCTCTATGTGTGCATAGGAGGGGGACTTTTGCTATATGGTCCAAATAATGTGAGTGATATGACTAACAATCTGTTAAATATGCCATTCATGTTTGGTGTTGTGAGGGGTGCTTGTGTATCTCCTGAAGCAAATGGCTTTCTTTGAAACTTGCAGCATAGGGCAGCTACACTGCTACAAATTACTGGTAAATATTTTGTCTTAACTTCATTTTATTATTTTTTATAACTAACAGATAAATAGGTTAAACTGTGTCATATTACATTTGATGTTTCATTGTGATGTTGAAATTTAATTTTTCAAACTTGTCTATATCACTCTAATATCATTATATTTCAAATTATTTTTGAGGTGCTGGGGAATAAATGAACACATGGGAATCTGGTGGATCATCCGAGGACCAGTGTTGTTTTCCATTTCAGTAAGAAGAATTTGTCATTTATGTGTTACATAGGTCTAACTGTCTTTCTGCTTTGATCCATTCTCCAAGCAAAATCCCTTCATCCAGTTAGATGACAGCTAGCAACTGGAAGTTAGAGTAGGGCTTCCTAACCACTCCATAGCCAACCAGGGTTCTGAGGGGAAACGAAGCTCATTTTTTCCCATCTCCAAAGCAATGAGGGCTCTAAAGACATGGTCACACAGCAAAGCTGTTGATTTTTTTTTTTGAAGCGGGGCTTAACTGTACTATGTATGTGATTATTGTGTCTTTTATGCTAGACATATGCAACCTATTTTCTCTAAATTATCAGGTTACTCATGTTCCCTGTGTTGCAGAGTGCAGTTTCCTTTCTGCTTTTCTTAAGACTTTGCAGTCACTTCCTTTTTTTGGTATATGACTGCATTAAGATATTATCTTTCTTGCCAGTTGTTACCCTTACTCTTTATTCAAGAAATATACCATGAAGGACTGATGAAGGGGCATACTGGGATCAAAATAACTAGGTTTACTAAATACATGCAACATGTGAAACCTAGCTAGGTACCATATAGTAAATCCTAGAACACAGTGCACACCACTAGTATGTTCATACAAGTACTATAGACCACAGTTAGAAAGGAACCCTGGAAAAATGAATAGATCCTGGAATGGGAGGGAGAAATGAAGGATACTTCTAAACTGGAACCATGGAAACATAAGAAAGAAAGACAGAGGTTTGTTACAGCTGAGTCATGAAGGGCCTTGAAAGCAATGACAAGCATCAACTTGAAGGTACTCTGACTGCTCCCCTGGGTACTCTGACCTCCAAGGTAGAGCTGACCTGGTCAGAACAGCAGGTGAGGAGATGATTGTGCTAGCACTGTTTTGGGAAGACTGGGGTGGAGTAAGGTAAATATACAGAAGGTATTAGAAGATGAAATTGCAGGAGTCAATGAAGGAAAGGACTGGATCATGAACAAGTGACTTATCTGTCAAGACAGATAGGAAGAAAAAGAGAGGGAGCAACCAAAGCTCAATACTAAAGCACAGATTAAGGTGACAAAGAAAATGCTGGTTTCAGCCCAAGTGAAGGAGATAAATAGTGGAATTGGTTTGGAAAGAAAAGCTATGAGCTTAGTTTTTGCCATGCTGGGTGTGTCTACACATGCAGTTATTGCATAGTAACTTACTGCGTAGTAAGCAGCTTTTACACTGGTGTGTATACATGCAGGTGTTACAGTGCAGTAATGCTGTGTGTGGACTGATTTGGGACTAAAGTTAGTCCCAAATCAGTCCACACAAACAGGGTTACTGTGCAGTGAGGTGTCTACATGTACCTTAGTGCACAGTAACTACTCAGGCATAAATTTGCTACCTGCATCATGCAGGTAGCAAATTTACACCCAAGTAAGCATAAGTTGCCATCGTTACTGTGCAGTACGGGCACACGTGTAGACATATGCTCATACTGTGCAGTAATTTTCACCTATAGATGTCCCTGTTGAGTTTGAGGAGACAGTTAACCTATTAAAACAACTGCGGAGATGTGGAACTGAATGAAGAAAAGCAATTAGCAACAATCAACATAGAAGAGATAGTTAAACCCATATCAGCAAATCATGTCACCCAGCAACAATATATGGAACAAGAAGAGGTGAGAGAATCAATAGACTTGGAGAGAGAGGGAGAGAGGAGAGAATGCCACAGAGGTTAGTTACTGCCAAGAGGAAGTACTCAGGAATCTGAAAGGCACTGGAAAGCTTGAGAAAGTTAAAGGAAAAAAATGCTATGGTAAAACCTGAACTGCTTCATGGATATGCACTGTTCTGAGATAAGGTAGTATATGCAGATGACCAATTTTGAGCAATCTACAACTTGCTCCCTTGGATGAGGAATAGGGAGGTAGCAGAACCTGACTGCAAGAATCAAACAGCAGCATTTCTGTTAGATTACCAATATGATGAGCCTGACTCTTTATATCAAGAATAACTCCATTAATGTAAGGGTGCAAAAAGATGTTACTCTTGTGTCACCTTAAAGATGTTTATGGTGGCACAACTTTCAAGTAGAGAGATGTATTAGCTTCATGTCATGCTCCAGGTACTCAAAGAAGTTGTCGTGACAAAAGACATTCACATTTTGTGATGCCATAAATTGGAGGACACCTGGGCCACTTGTGTATGTGACAGTGATTTAGTTCCCCTAAACTGAAACAGTGGGTTTTTAATTGGTGGTTTTTTAATTGTGACAATTAAAAACCCACTCTTTCAATTTAGGGGCTTCCATCACTGTTGGTGATCTTTTTTTTTTTCTGACAGAGCCTTCCCTCAGCCAGGGGGGTGAGCTGCCAGTGGGCCCTAAGCTTCAGGGGGACCCTAGTCCTTCCCTCTACTGCAGCAGTGCCCCCTGCGGCTGCCCAGGTGGGCTGCTAGTGGGCCGGGTGCTGGCTCTGAGCTGGACCAGCATACAGCCTACTAGCAGCCCACCTGGGTTGCCCTGGGGGATGCCACTACCACAGACGGAAGAACCCAGGCCCACTGTAGCTCAGACACCGCTGGCAGCTTATCTTCCCTGGCTGTCAGCTGACTCCACTGAGGGGGAAAAAAAAGGATTGGGACCCTTGCTATGTGTTCCTCCCCTGGCGGAGCCTGCCTGTGACTGGGGAGGTGAGCTGCTGGCAGGTCAGGTAGCACCTGAGCTGCTGTGGGGGATCTCAGTCCTTTTCTCCATGGTGGTGGCTCCCCCAGGGCTGCCAGGGTGGACTGCTAGTGGGCCTGGTGTTGCCTCAGCTTGGAGGCAGCACCTGGCCTTATCCAACCCTTCCCTGAGTCCACCGGTGCTTCCAGCTTCCCAAGCACTGACCCCACTGCCTTCCTGTCTCCTGAGACTGCCCAGGAATGGGCTGGCTTACCCCTGGGCAGTGTAGGAAGGTGGCAGGAGGGAGGCTGCATGTGCTGGTGGCTGGAGAAGATGGTGGGGATGGTGCATGGGGTGCTGGAAACCCGCCAAGCCCAAGATGCAATTTGTTAGGTAGCAAAATAAAATACACAGAGAAATGCAGCTGCCTTGTGTGTGAAATGAGAATTAAAAAAAAAAAATTCTAGTAGAGCTTGCTAAAAAATTGAACTAATTAAAAATAGTTGAGAGGGCAAGAAGTAATCTGAAAACAATGTATTCTTTTAAAGTATTGCTTACATATGTTCATGTGTATCATATAGTAATAGGCAGACAAGGTTCCTTGGCTGAATTTGATGTCTTTTATTAGACCAACCCAAATGGTTGGAGAATAGTTATTAAGCAAGCTTTCAGGTTCAAAAACCCTTCGTCAGGCTCAGGAAGCTGCAGCAGTTGGTGTGTGCTCTTCCTGGATGGAATATAGTAATACATATACATGTTGAGTTAAAAATCACATAATATTTTTATATATGTATTTTCAATAGCATTGCCACTGCACGGGCTCCAATGGCTGCAGCAATAAGCCCTGTGGGCCTAATTTGACCTGGAGAGGTAGGTGGCCCAGCTGATGGTGATCCTTTTTATGCTAATAATTAGTTATATGTGAGGTAAATTCACTCTTATGCAATCAGTGTAGTGGAATCCACAAAGCTTCTCTTTGAAGCTGCTTTGTGCTGTGTATTGTGGGAGTGATGCAAACCAAAATATAGTCTCCTGTGTGGAACTGGGCTCCTAGCTCATTGTCTGCAAAACATGTTTCTGTAGTTGCCATCCCCATTATGATAGTGCTCTGTGCTTGTGTGTAGGGTCTGCTGTTTGTGAGTACCAGAATTGTCTTGTAAAACTGGTAGAAATGGGTCTGGGGGTCAGTACAGTCAAGGTCTTGGAATGTATCCCTATTTGTTACATTGTAATTGAGTTCCCTTTATGTGAATTTGAGGTATGCTCCATTTTCCAGGAATGCATGTACAGCATAAAGCGACGGAAACCTGTATATATTTTTTTCCAATTGCTATCCTAAGTATAGTATTTGGCATTTTACTGTATTTCATCTAAGTAATTTTGGACTATTTCTCCAGTTTTTTAAGGGTATTTTGAATTATAATCTTGTCCTCCATCCAGCTTGATATCATCTGCAATTCCATATTGCAAGCCATTCATGAAGATATTAATTAGTCCTTTCCGCAGCAGCTTCCTTCTGACAGGTGACTGGATTCTTCCTTGATCCTTTTGCCCTTATTAGACCCAGCATCAGCAGTTATGTCTGGCTCAGAAAAAGTCCAGGTAGCATCCATCTGATACCAGATATGGCAGGAGACTAAGACTCCTAGTCACTGGCAACCTTAACAGCATTTTCTTACCCTATTGATGTAAAAGGTGAAAGTAGCTCCAGTCAAAATGATGACCAGAAGCAGCCCTTTCTTCAGAGCAGCCTCGGGAGCAGTCATCTTTCATGTTCTCTCAGCCATTGCTATGGCAGATAGCTTCTTACTGACCAGTTAGCACTAAGAGATGACTATTGAAAGGAGCTAGAGCATATTCCCAAGAAGCTGTAGAACCGCATGTGGCATCCAATCCCATTCTCCTTGCAGCATTGATTCTGTTCCTTCAATGTGCATAATCTTGCTACCAGCTGTCTACACTCATCTGGTCATACTTCCTGGTTTCCTTCCACTAGCTGGCAGGTCTCAGCAACTTCTTAAAGGCCAAACACAAGGCCAGGCTAGTGCTTTTCCACATTTAAGTTGACCTAGGAAGCTAGCTAGATGCAGATGTAGGATATTTAATTGGACCCCTGGTAGCTGTGGGCTGGTGTGTCTCAACTGCTTTGGGTGCCATTAGTTCCTATTAATTATAGCAGGGGCCCTAAGGGACTGCACAACCTTCAGTACTACAGTGAGCAATAGCTGCAGCAGCTCCAGGCACTCTGCTATATGTCCCATCAGAAGTGACTGCAGCTGTGATTTCTGGCTAGGACACCTTTCCCAGAATTTTTCAGCTATGCTGCTACCCTCACCAGCTTCTGTCTCAAAGCTGTCTGAGCA